ATTTGGATAAGTGCCTTCCAACCTGGATGCCTCATCACGTGCCACCCATATTTTTCCAAAGTCACCATTTTTGTGGCAACAATATAGATACATATATTTATTACATTGTCTTCTTCTGGTTTTGATTGTAGAATTTCTCCATAAGATACTTGCAAAGCCCTATCTTATTTTCAGCTAAGCTACTGATCCCTCCCATCATATCAAGCAATAATCTCCTGAAAGGGAAACCAGAAGTACACTCATACATGCAAGCAGAATATTGTATTAGGAATCAGATAATAATCTCTTCCAAAATTAGTTATTGTTTATTTAATGACAACTTTATAAACCAGTTCTCTGTATCAAAGTATGACTCACTCAACTGGTATTAAATAATTAATATAGAAATAGCCTTTGCCTGACATACAAGGAAGTGTAAGAAAGTTCATGGAGAACAATATGGATATACCTTCAACCTTTAATCCCATCAGAAAATTGCACAACACAGTTCAACAAGCACTCATAGCTCCTTAAAATATATGGTTGCCTTCCTGCTTTTATTGGGCAACTATTTCTACAATATTATAACTTTAAACTTTGATAACAATGCAGTGCCAAGAATGGTAGCATTACTAAAGAAAAACATGTGTATCTAAAAGTTGGTGGCAGCTACAGACATTGTAAATGTAATTATCTGATCCCAGTGTATAAGTACAGAGCAAGAAAATTCTTCAGTACAGAGTACAGAGTTGAGAAAATTCTTCAGTTCTGATCCACAATAAGAGGAAAGTAGGAATGGTTTAGAGGAATCATTTGGAGGTCTCTGAATTTGTTTTACAGAAGTGAAAATTAAAAATGAAGCTGTCTGTAACAGTAGCTCTGGAAATTGTTGCACAATGTCACACTGGACTTACCACAAAGACTCATTTCCTACAGCAGAGAAAGTACATTCTGAGGTAGGAATCTCCTTCCTCCCAGTTGCTTCAGATGCACAGCAAAAAAAGGCTTCTGACATTCTGATATCTATAGGGGTAGATAGCTCCTTGTTTTTGTCTTGGAAGGCCAAATCAGAAAGATTACTCAGGGAACTAGAACTTGAGAAAGAAGGAATACAAATGAGATGCATAAAACTCCATACAAGATGACAATACTGAAAGAGTCCCAGAGAATAATCTCAGAATTTTTTCTTGATTATTCTTTGATGGGTGATGACCTGAATCTATGGTAGAAAAATAATCTTCATAATAAGTCCTGTATATTCTTTTTCTACAGCTTAATCAGGATGCCAACTGGAAGATATTAGAGCTATTCCTGGGAGTAAATTGTATCTCTATCCCTTTCTATGAGCTATGTTCTGTAGTATCTTCATGCTGAAAGATGCTTCAGGTGAGGCATACGAGTTAATCTGATATTGCTGTATGAAAGAAAATATGAAAGATACATGGCAACTGTTGGCCATGCCTAGGATGGCATTAGTATTGGGAAAGACCAGGATGGTTGTAGTTCTCATGGAATGAGTGACAATCCCCTGGGAAACAGGGTTATTCTGAGTCTTGCAGATTAATTTGATGCAGGTCAAAGTTTGGAGATTATGATCTTAGTGACAGTGGGGTTCCTGAAAGGAAACTAGCAGATTTTCCGATACTCTGAATTCCTCTATTGTGTTCAGGAGGTCCTCCAGAGTTTTTGCTATTTTAGCCAAAAATGTTGAGATGATCCTGCTCAAAGTCCAGATACATAGTTGTAACCAGCTAACTGAATTCCCAAACCAGCAGGTTTAATGTTGCTGGAACACTTTATGGTGGGGATTTTGGCAGATGAACCATGTTCAAGTAATAGGACATCCTGGGCCAACTGCAGTCTATCCAGAAAATGGATCACATTCTTCTAGGGAAATTTGTGGCCAGCAGAAGTGCATTGTCACATAACTGGAATCTGAATCTATTCTTCACTCCTGTCACTGGAAATGATTCTTAGAGGTATCCCTAGGTTGCTGCCCATTAGTTTGCAAGTCATTGGTTCTGCTGAAAAGTCAAAACAGGAAGGCCAAAGCCAGACAAAAAAGAAACAAATGCAAGGAAATAAATGCAGGACTCTTGACCATCAGAATGACAGGAAGAACTCACACCTGTACAGCTCATACTGAAACATAGCAGGGTTGGGACTATGAAAAGGAGACTCTCTTCCCAATATAACCTCATCAAAATCCTCTCTAGCCTCTTTCTCCACTCCAGAGTGAGGGAAAGAATGTGGGACTCAGCTATAGGAAAATTAAGAGCCATTTACAACTTGTTTACTATCTGTAAATAAAATACATATGATTGTCTTAACTATAGCAAATGGAACTCCTAATACTATAACTTATTAGGTCTTAAAGTAGGGAATATGTAAGAGTTATATGTGCATACAGAAGTAAGGATGACATGTTCAACAAGATTATAAAACAGAATGCAAAGAAAATTTGTATGAGTTATCCTTGAACTCTTAAATAGAAGATTTTAAAAGACAGTTAAAAGAATTCTTTCTATAGATGTCCCATACATTAACTAGTACCCTCAGAATTTATGACTTTCTAGACCATACTGGAAACAGTGTACTTAGTACAAATAAGGTTTCATGTCCATAGACTGTTATGTGAGTTTCTTATTGTGCTGTAGGGTAACATACTTCCCATTAATTACTCTCATAGGGTTCCTGAAGTTCATCTTTGTCTCTTTTGTAGCTCACATTTTCTGTGGAAAAAAAAAACTGCCTCAAGCTTGTCAAATTTCCACTTTGAAGAACCTGTCCTTCTTGCATCTGGCCTCATATGTAGAAATAGGAGCAAAAAACTATATTCCTGGCAGAATTTCTTTATTTTAGAATACTTTAATTTCCATTAGGTACTTGAGAGAACAACAATAATCTATAAATAGCTGATCAGAAATTTCATGATTTCTCCTGAATAATATCAAGTTTATTTGATAGTTGCTTTATATTTCTGAGTTCTGCTACTTTAGTAATACATGTAATGTTTTTCTTATTCTACTTTCACATTACAAAGAATTTTTTTAAAAATGGTGGGTTAACAGCTGAGAAATTTCTTCTAAAAAGTCAGTATATTAAGAGAGCTTAAAAGAACGGGCTTTGGCATACTCATTTTCAAATCACTTCAGAGAATAGGTCTACCATGTAGCTACACTAAACAAGTATTCTAAAACTATGTTTCTTTGGAACTTCCAATGATGTTTGTTTTTCTTCAGTCAAAAACTCATGGATACATTTAGTTAATGTTTACATCCCAAAGTCCTTGAGAATTCTTTCCTTGCAATTTATATATTTCCCACAGTATAGTTGTATTTTATTCTATTCCTTAAGTATGTCACTTCTTTTCATAAATAACTGCCTCTATTTATCTATAGACATATAGAAACCATACTACTTATATCTTTTCTTTTTTTCAATCTAGGATAAAAAGCTTTTCTATTAATAACAATTTGAATGAGCTGCCATCATAAAGAAAGAAGGGACTTAAGGCCAAGGGTGGGATTAAATTTTTTTAACAATCGGTTCTGTGGGCGTGGCTTAGTTGGATGTGGCTTGGTGGTCATGTTATTGGCTGGGCATGGCCAACTCAATATCACTCACAGCGAGTCATGCATCTCCTCACCTGGCCTTTCATGACTGTGGGGATGCTGCAACAGTCGTAAGTGCCATTGTATTTTTTCAGTGCCATTGTAACTTTGAATAGTCACTCCACACAAGCAAAGTACCAACAAAGGAGGGGAAAAAAACTCCAGAGACATTCCTGAGACAGGAAGTACAGTCCTGCCAAGAATGTAATAAGGGTTAACGGAGAGGCAGTTTCTGTAAGCAACACCAGAATGTTTCCTTCTTGCCTTCCTTACAGGATTAGGCCAGTAATTAATTCTCCGAACTGCTTCAAATGTTAACAACCGGTTCTAGCGAATAGGTGTGAACTGGCAGAATCCCACCCCTGCTTAAGGCCCTGCATTAGTGGTGTCAAATGTTAGAAATCAAAAAGAAAGCACTCTTTGAAAGTAAGAAATCCACATGACAAAACATTGTTTTTTGTGCACAATAAAATCTGTGTTAATTATTTCTGTACCAACCTTTATTATTTTTGTAAACAATTCAAGATAGTGAACATATCTAACACTCTTCGCCTCCCCTTATTTCCCCCACAATAACAATCCTGTGAGGTGAGTTGGTCTGAGTTACAGAGACTTGTCCAAAATTACCTAGCAGGATTTCATGCCCGAGGCAGGACTAGAATTTAAATATATCAGCATGGAATATTTTGCAAAAAATAAAAGCAGAATTGTGGATCAGTTTCCAGCTCAAATGCTTTTTCAAAAATTGGCTAGTAATCATGGTTTACAAAGTTACATTATACAGAATTTTGGGGAAATTGAAATTAAAAAACAGCTTCATCTTTTATGACGTTTTATATTATCTTGGCCTAAAAAGTTGTTGTCATAACTGATTTATTTCTTATAATTAAAATATAATTCAATTATGAAAGTGCAAATATAAAAAGAGTAAAAGAAAGATATATCCTCATTGACAGGGCACTCATTGATAGTTCTTAGAATTTAGGGAAATCTATCATGGTTTTCCAGGTAATATTCTGAATTTTGAAGAATATTTAATTCCCAATTCAATTTTGATCTAATTTCATTTATAGTACCAGGGTACTGTAATTAGAAAATAAGAGCTAACCCTTTCTTTTCAGGTAGTAGTCAGCTTTAATGGAGCTCTGAGAGACACCAAGCTCAATGTTAGAGCACAAGGGTTGACAAGATTCAGTCTCTGACATCTGTGCCTAGAAACAAGTTCAGAGCATAGAGCTACGAATCACACTGCCCCAGAGTCTGCACATTCAATCCATGGAGACTTTATAGATCCAGATGGACTGACACATGGACTGACTGATTGAAAGAACACTGCTGTGCAGAGTTGGCTTCAGTCTAGTTTTCAGTTTAGCATTAGTGCTAAAACCAAAAGTGCAAGAAACTCACCAGAGTGTGTCCTGAGGTGTCCTGTGAGAGCATCCCTTCTTCGGCAGGCATAACTACAAAAGGGACATTTGAATGGTTTTTCTCCGGAGTGTAATTTGATGTGCCTCAGTAGGTTCCCCTTTTGGGTGAAGGAAGCTCCACACTGGTTACAGTGAAAGGGACGCTCACCTATAGCAGATGAAAGAAGAGAAACAACACCTAAGAAACAGTGATTGAAAGATAATTAAAATCTAGACTGGATAGAAATCTTCTTCCTCAACATATATTAAAACCATCTGAAAAATAAGAGACCAAGTCATAGCAGCTAGATTGGCCTTAGTTAAAGGCTCTTTCGTTCTTTTGTTTTCAAACCACATTATCTGATAATCAAACCCCATGACTTCATTATTCAGCTATTGCAGGCATCTAAAATTAAATGGGACAATTGCAATATTTGAAGCAGACAAGACCTATGCTAAGGAAAGACGAGTTGTCAGCTGTAGAAAAGGAAAGCTCAGAAACAGCTAGGTGGAATAATGATCAAATTAAGTATGCTATCTTCATACAACCCTGCAGAATCCAAGAAAAGGCTACAAAATCATATTTTAATGAAGCACTAAATTATCTCCACAAAATTAAAACTGCAAATGTAAGAATTGTATACAGACATTTTAAGCTTCACTGATAATAACTTCTCTTCCATATTTCAAGCAGACATTAGCATGGTCAAATACATTTCTCTACCTGCAGGTAAAGAACCACCTAAAACACAGCAGAGGGAATCCTCAATTTATAACTGTCAAAACATTATTCTGCAATGTGGTAACGTGATTGATAAAGTAATAAGTCAATTAACACTGCAACAAGGAAAGAACATTGTTTTTTATATTATTGTTCTTTTTAAATAATTTAGGTATATTGATGAGGGAGCCGTGAAGTAACTTCTAAGCTATCTGCAATCTGACATTGTACATTTTATAGGTTAGCAGACTAAATATAATTAATATTAATTAATACTAATCTAAAATAAAATAGTTTGTAGTTTCAGTTCTTGTGAATTCAAACTAGATTGTAAACTTAGATTTTAGAAATCAAATTACATTTCTAATTCAACCACCTGCTAAGCTTTTCATATGACTATTAACAGCCTTAATATGTCTACTTGCCATTCCTGAGATTCAAGCCTTTTCTGTTTTGACAGTTCAGACCCAGAGATTTATAGGAAGGTACCCATTTTTTGCACAAAGGGCTATATGGTCAGAGGAAAAATATACATCATGCTGTTCTTTGACAAGATACAAAGCAGTTTCCCTAATTTATTTTAATTGTGAAACCCTTGATTAATTTAGCTTTGGAGGCTATATATATAAGATCTTATATATTTCAACCCCTCCCCCCAAAAGGGACTTGTAAGATACTAAAAGGTCACATTATGAAGAAAGAGTACAAGAAGTAGTCCAGGACTATACAGTCAGTCACAGGGAAGCAAAAAATTAAAAAAACAAAAACAAATTAAAAGTTAGTGAAGGATGGTTAACAAAATCCACAGGAGCTTCTTTGAATGTGTTCAAAACAAAAGAAAAATGAAAGAATCAGAATATCAGCTTCTCATTGGAGACAGGTTAATGCTAATAGGTAACAAAGAAAAGCTGGAACTACTCAATTCAATCTATCGCATCAAAACAAGATACATTCTTTAAGAAATTATAAAATAGGGCAAAGGGGCAACATTAAATTTGAAATAGAATCATAATCAAGGACTGTCTCTTTGTTGAATGAATCTCACATACCAGAGGAACAGCATCCTAGCATATTGGCTGATACTAATGTACTAATGTACTTGGATATGAGATAGTACCATGGATGTTATGTAAGGAAAACAAATGCACTTTTAAGTTGCATCCACAGAAGTGTAAATTCCAAATCCCAAGAAGTAATAAATCTATTTTTTTTCTGAATTGGTTAAACTCAAACTTGAATAACCAGGTCTCAATACATTTTTAAGAAGGATGAAAAAAAAATGGTAAATTTCATGAAAGGGCATCAAGTACAATCAGGGACAGGTTAGGTTGATGAAGAGAGATGGAACTAATTGGGTGTGTTTTCTCAAATACTTGAAAGAAAAAGGATATTTTGATTCAGCATGCAGGTGATAGAATAATAATAGGCAGACTGCATTCTAATTGATTATTACAAAAAACTTCCTAAGTGTAACAAGAGTTTGGCTGTGGAACCAACTGCTGAGAGAAAGAAGGGGTTCCTCTTCAATAGATCTGAATCAGGCAGGAAGGATATACGTTGCATGGCCAGAGGCCTTCTGTGGTTTTCTGCAACAGAAGCAGAAAAGATCCAAACACAGCCTGTTTTTTTCTCTCCTGAGCTGATTAATTCTTTGTCTCCACCCCCACCCCCCAAACTAGAGTTTATTTCAGATTTTCAAGGTACGATCATTTAATATCCTTAACTTAGGAAGAACTTCAAAGTATTGAATGTTCCTGGAAGATGACTCAAAATTACAGTTTGGCCATTCTGTTACTGAGAACGGTTTTAAGTAATTGACATAATATCCATGGCTATGCCCAAATCAATACCTATATATCAAATTTTATTTTTAGAGTTTTGTATAAGTTTTAGAGTTTCACAAAAGACTAAAAATATTTCATGATGCATATTAATATCATGCCAGAGGACAGCAGCTCAGCAGCTAATTATATTTCATAACCACAATTACTGCCTACTTCTGTTTACACTGGAGGTGTTACATCACCACAAATTTAAAAAGAAAAGCTTCCAGGAGACCAGGCAAGGGATGTGTAATAAACTTATTTTATTTCTTCCAGGTTGATTCATATGCAAGCAACTATGACTAAAAAGAAAACTAGATATGTGTAGGCATGAAAGGTAATTAATATGTCTCCATATAGTTACACAATATTTTCATGTAGCATGTATGGGTGTTTGTATAAGTCTCTCTCTCTCTCTCTCTCTCTCTCTCTCTCTCTCTCTCTCTCTCTGTGTGTGTGTGTGTGTGTAATGTCAATTCTGAAATCCTTCAATCATATTTCAAAACAGCTCTCATGTGCTTATCTCAGAAGTAATTTACACTTGCAGCTTGATAGGGTAATAAGAGTTCCAAGACTCTGCCAGGCAGCAGTTAGAAGATAATCTAATTTGGCAAAAGTAAACAAGTTGGCAGGTTAGATAGAATCTTAGCTATGGCATGAGTGAGGAAGAAGGTTCCATAGAGGAAAATAATTTGATCTAGTGGTTATCGCCCCAGGCTAGGAAATAGGAAACTGTGAGTTCTAGTCCTACCTTAGGCATGAAAGTCACCTGGGTAACTTTGGGCCAGTCACCCTCTCTCAGCCCAACCCATTTCACAAGATTGTTATTGTATAAAACATAGGAGGAGTTAGGAGAATTAGGTATGGTCACCACATTGAGTTATTGATAAAAAATAATAAAGATGAGAAACAATCCTGCCAGCCATCAGTTTGCTTGGCATTACCATACTATTAATAAAGTTCTATCTTTTCCTAGGAATAACTACCATTTTCTTTTTGAAATTAAACTAAAAGACTTAAACATGTAAACTACTTTTCCACAAAGGGAAAGTTTCATTTGATAAAACATCTAAGCAATGCCTGGGGTTAGCAAAAACAGAGAACAAAATTACATCAAAACAGAAATAATTTCTGTACGGTTGAGAACTTCTGAATAGTCAATGCACTACTGCTTTATTCTGAAAAAGAACAAAAAAGCATTCCTCAGTAGAGGAAATGTAATGGCTCTGAGAAGAGCACTGCTTATATAATCTTCATTTTTCTTTTTTTAAGATCATAATGTTACTTTAGAAAAATGCTGAAGTGCCTCAAGTATAAAATGTCCAAATTATGTCTGCCAGTAGATCACAACCTAACATTTGAAACAGCTTTAAAGTGAATTTCTATGTTTTATATCCAGGGTACATTAGTGACAATTACTTTATAACACTGCTCTCCACATGAAAACATCCAAACAATTAAATGTTTTCTTTAATGTATGAAACAACATTATTGTGAGATGAGGCATTAGAGCTGAGTATTAAGTTGAGCATTATGTGTTATAAATGGCACCAACTTTACAAACCCTCAGGAAGTGAGTTTTCTCTTACCATCTGGGATCCTTTTAAACAGAGATACTATAGATTGATTCCACAGTCTTCTATATACAGTACAAAGCATTTGATTTATATCTGAGCCATTCTTAACCTTTTCAAGAAAATATGCAGTCGTATTTTGCTCTAGACTGGATATTCCTCACTTCTAAATTTTTCTCTCCTCTTTTTGCTTGTTAATCTTTACGGGCTTTTGGAATTTCTCTCCCCTTCCCCACTTTACTTTTTATTTTTTAATCTGAATTTAACATCATGATTGCGTTTCCATAACATGGAAAGGCAGATTAGAGAGTATTAGAGAAGATTAAAGAATAATAGAGGCCTAATATTAGAGGCAATAAGCAAATATCCCTTGCTTATCCTAACAATGACCCAATCACTTTTACTGATCTTTCCTGTGGAACTTGCCAGTCATAGAAAACTCAAGTTGATTCATGTATCTACCAAATGAAATTATTTATATTCTGACATATTGTGTATAACTGGCTGGTGCATTTTGTAAACTTAGGTTTATGGTTTGATATGCTGTGTGAATCCAGCCAATAATGGGTTGTTCAGTAAATTGTGATTTGGTATGTTGCATGGAAACAGGTTTAATGTTGCATCTGCACAATGTCTGCTACCATGATTTTTTCTTACAAACTTGATCTTCAAACTGTAATAGTCAGATTTAGGCTTCTTAATGTTGGATGTAACACTGATCTTTTTGTGTGTTGTAGTGTCCTAGTAATTCAGTCCCTCACACAGGCAGGGGAAGCACTCTGGATTTTTATTTTCTGTGAACAGAATCAGTCATAACTAATATTTACAATACATAGAATAATTTTTCAGATGATTGCTGCCAATTAATGCTAAAAACAAGCCACTGTTTAATATGCTACTCCAGATCAGTACTGTCCTATATAACTGGCAAGATACTGAGAGTCAAGGAAAGAACCTTTCTCATTTCAGCTGATAAAGGTGGGCAGGAAAATGTAGCCAGATGGGTGAGAAACAGTTAATGCCACTTTATGCAAGGAGCTGATATCCTGAAAGAGGCTGTGCTGCTAGAGCTGGATCCTATGATTTTTCTACAGCCCACTGAAATATGCCCACTTTTAGGGTAAGGTGACAGGCAAGGTGTTACTGGTCTGAAAGAAGCCAATTATTCTTGCTTTGGGCCTGGATATAACAATCAAAGACAATGACCTCTGAAAGTATTGAAAGACAGGGCATACCAACCATTAATACACTTTCTAGACTTCTCAGCAGCGTTTGATATGATTGAATGAGAAATATTGATAGATGTCTCAGTAATTTGGGGGCTGGGAGAAATCAGAGGTTCCATTCCTATTTGCTAGACCAGGGGTCCCCAACCACCGGTCCGCGGACTGGTACCGGGCCGCGGAACAAGTCCTACCGGGCCGCTGGCTTGCTGGGCGCCATCTTTTTTTGATGAAAAAGTGCTTCCGGTGAGCTTTTCCGGGTAGAAAGCTCACCGGAAGCACGTTTTCATCAAAAAAAGATGGCGGCGCCAGCGCTTCCGGTGAGCTTTTCCGGGTAGAAAGCCATTGACCTCACCGGAAGCACTTTTTCATCAAAAAAAGATGGCGGCGCCCAGCTGATGCCGGTACCGGGCCGCGGCGCCCAGCTGATGCCGGTACCGGGCCGCGGCGTAAAAAAGGTTGGGGATCACTGTGCTAGACCAACACTAAAGAGTAACTTAAGAATTGATTATTGTTTATACGTAGGATGCCATCCTTTTGATTCTTGCTATTGAAGCACTGGAGGAAGAAATCTGGAATTTTAGTATGATTTCATCCATGCCATACAAAAATGATATACAACTTTATCTTCACCTGATTCAAGAAAGGTGCAGATGCTTGCAGTTTCTTAGAGGCTATGATTGATTATATACACCCTAACAAACAGAAGATGAATCTAAATAAGATGAAGGAGCAGTGGATAGTTGAGTCTCAGACTCAGGAATTAAGAAGATATTCTATTCTGGCTGAAATCATTCTTTCTTGAAAAAATAGGTCTATCACTTGCCTTTTATATAGCTGTGGAAGTTCCTTGATAAAAACTTCCTTGGTTTAAAGAGAAACATCCTTGATACAAACAGGGAAAGTAATTACTCAGTGAAAAGAGATCATTATCTGGAAGAATATTTTGTTATTGTAGAAATCTTCTGCTATTGAGCAATCCCAGTAAAAATTCATTTGAGTTTCCTATTGCAAGTATGCAGTCTTCTGTATTATTAAAATATTGAAAGAGGGTGATAGATCATTGTACATACATCTCATTTCCAAGGCAAGGCCATGTCACATGCGCTGCACACATATAAAAATACATCGATAATGAAATGTGTGGACTGAAGTGACCAGATGGATCCTGTTCCCTGCCAGACCAATCATCACATCCATAAAGTCAAATCTCCTACAGGTCTCTCACTCCCACAGCAGGTCTAAGAAACAGTTTTCAAAATAGAATTGAAAAGGCTATGGATTCTTTCAAACAGGGCACAGTTGCAAGAAAAGCAAATTGTCCCTCCAGTGATGGATGGGTCTTACCGTTCCACTTTACCCAAGCTTCTTCCTGTTGCAATCATAAGGTATGGTACAAACAGGAAAGTTTTGTTTTTAGCTGGGTTACACAGGAGTAAACTCATGGAGCAGTCTTGCCCATCATTTGAAGGGAGACTGGGCGAAACTGCCACGACAGACAGAATTTGGGTTAACACATAGCCATTCTAATCAGTAGCAGTGCCAACTAAAACTGGTTTTAATACCCCCAATGTTTTATTTATTTTACAGATGAAGAAGGCTTTTGCAAAGCTGGGGAGAGGAGAGAGATAAGGCACTCTCTACTGGTCAAATGATTTCAAAGAGAAAATATTGGTTACTTGCTCTTTGCAAGTCTTAGGTGCCCACAAAAAAGCAAATCTGTCCATTCCAGTAGTGCCTATCTGTCCTTGAGTAGACAGAGCAACCCGCTCATGCTCTGCTTAACTTTCATTTTTCTTGGCTAAGACAAAGCCTGGCCATCTGCAAAGGCCTCAGGAAAACTTCCATCCTTCCCCTACAAAAAAATCTTACTCTGGTTTCTTCTTCTTTCCTTGCAACATTTTCCTTTGACAACACAGACCTTTTGTTGTTGTTTTGTATCTCACCTTAATCAGCCTCCAGGGAACAAAACAAAGGGAGTTAGTCTTGTTCCCTTCTTTCTTGTGAGGAAAGGAAAAAAAAAAGACCGAAGGAGAAGCCAACTGTACTTGGAAGTGGGGAATGGAGAAAAGTTGAGAGAAAGATCATTCTCTCCTGTACAAGCAATTAATCAATGTATGAAGCAAATCTTCCTTGCTCTTCACACAACAGCTTGCTAAACAGAAATTATTTGGGAGAAATATATTTAAAGTGTGAAAGATAGAAGCTGTTCCTGCATTTCTGGAGGAAAGTGCTGGAGGAAGAGAGCAAAAGACATTGTCTGGGGAAAGCAGCTTACACTGGAAACGAAGGAAAAGCAGAATACAAGAAGTAAAGTAAATACGGTCCCTGCCAAATGGGTCTGGAAATATTTCTGTGAAAGGCAAGGAAAGAATGAAATCCTTGTAAATGCTATTCAGACAACACTGAAGAGATCAGTATTTTCAGGATCCGGTGATCAGACAAGTTATGGAGTTATTACTGGGCAACATGCATTATGAAATAAGTATATGTCAAACACATCTACATATAGAAAATTCCATAAACTTCCCTATGGTGTGCATTTATCAATGTTTCCTCAGAGTAAAATACAGTCCTCTCACTCCACGGGCATATTAAACACTGAAATTGAAAAAATAAGTCCTGGTTTCTTGGTAGTAGAGTGACTATCTTAGTTAATCCAGGAACTACCAAGGAAGATACACTAGCAGCATCAGATGAAGATCGTGTCTAGTTAAGCAGTGACAGGTTAGATCCTTCCTATAATATCTAACAAAACAAGGAGAAAAATCCAAGCCAGCTGATCTCAGAGTCTTTGGATAGGGATGTATTAATCAGTCTGAGGCATGGCAGCTATTGGTATTTTTAAGGATGGAGTTTTTTTGTTTTGTTTTTTTGTAGACATGAATATAGTTTTCATCGTGGATATGCATCATACCAAAATTTTATTTCTGAGTCCAGCCTAACCATATGCCATTCTTTACAGTTCCCCAATAAATTCAGATTTCTCTAAAAATGGAGAGTGCTTTGCATATAGAGACTGATAGCTGGTAGGATTGTTTTCATGCTGAATCTGTCATTGGTCTCTGTGTCTTTCTTGTGAAGGTTGTTCTAATGTTAGTAAATATTTCAAATCATCAAGTGGCCTCCAGAAATAGTAGAAGGGGAGGATTTTGTAAAACCAATAAAAAGAGAGGTTCATATTAACAGACAGCCAATTTAGTATGTACGTCATAGTGAAGGAGACTTAATATGGAAATTATCATTCCTCAAACATTATTGCAAAAGAGATAAGAACATAAATGCATGTTTTTTAATATTTATTTCCTAGTAAGCAAAGTTTGAAAGGAAAATATTTCCCATTACTGCACATGATTATCAATGATGAATTGAGAAATGCTAGAGAATAGACGTAGGCAATATCAACATCAGATGCCAAAGGCAGTCATCACATTTTTTTTTCTTTTGGCTGCTTACCAGTGTGACTCCTTTTATGTACCATAAGCACATTGGGCCCAATGCAAACCATGCCACAGACGTCACATTTCAGTTTACCATTCGGAAGCCGGATTCCTCCCTCGCCTGACAGCTCCTGCATTTTTCTGTTCTCCCCAATCTCCTGGTTTTCAATCAGGGGCTCTTCCAAACTGCTCCCTTCATCCTGCCCAATGATCCCATCTTCCCGCTTTAGACGCTTTCTGTTAGAATCCTCATCATCGCTTTGCATTTCCCGCTTTATGGAATTTGCTGCAAAAGAAGAAGAAAAAGGAGAAGGAAGAGGAGGAGACATATTACAAATAATTCTGTTTCCCTTACATTCATTTGTTAAAATAATACACGAGTAAACTATTGCATTAATCTTAATCTCACTTTCAAACTATGGTTTATAAAGGATTGTCTTGTTTCTTTCAAATTCTGATTTTTTTTAATGTAATTTACACACTTGCTCTGCAGAGTACAGCACATTATGGGCTTATGGATAGGATCAAGCCAGGACATAACTACAGAATCAGGGAGCAGAACATAAATACTGGACCAGGAGCTGTTGCTATTTTTTATTACTTGTAAATATCATTTGTATCTTCAAGATAAAATCTTGAAGTCAAAGAAGATCTGGTCTGCTCTAAGGGGATAAATTTAAACTGTTTCTCCATTCCTGGTTGCCATCTAGAGACTTTGGTGTTCCAATTCAATTTGAAAGATACATTAATTTCCTGTAATTCCTTTCTTTATTCCCTTAGACAGTCTTTCTCAAACTGACACTGCCATGTGGGTGTACTGTAGCCAATGTTCTATATTATCACAACTAGCAATTCTAAGAACATAACCAACATATCTGATAAATCAAGCTGAGATAGTGGGCTTAGGACACTAGTCAAGTCTTTAGGAGCAAACTATATTGATCCCAAGACAAATTACACCCTTATGACCAACCATGACACCAGTCCTTGCTCAATGTTAATTAAATAATATTTCTTTCAGCTAGAATATCATCCAATAGGAAAAGTTTAAAATAGAAGAGAGTATGTTCTTTTAAAATAGGAGAAAAAGGCTGTGGATATTACATATCTTTTGAAATAGGTATTATATTTGTCTTTGTATTTAAATAATAAGTCTGTGGCCTTGCTTTAATGCTTAACACTTCACCCTAAGTGAAGGTTTTATTGTTATTAATAATATATGTTTAAGAACAGGAAAAACAGTTTTTGTAGCCATTTGCAAAAATATTTAATTTTGGAACTGGATTCAAATTTTGCCTTAGCTATACAATAATTAAAATATCGTGACTGCATTTCCTTTATCTTTAATATTGGATTCCATAGCAATCCACTTAAGAGTAATATGCTAATGAGCAGCAGTTTACAAGTTAAGAGGGTTGGGTGAATCATCCCAAATTCAGATCAGCCCTGCTAATTTGTGAACAGGTTTTGATGTATAGAAACATACAAGTTTCTTTATATTGAATCATGTTATATTTTGACCAACAACCCTTCAGGCAAAGCAGACTCTTTCTATTCTAATATACCAAAAATCACTTCAACTGGGGGATTCAAAGGACTGATCTTGAGCCATTTCCCTTGCAACATGGGTGTTTACCCCTGCCAATAGAAATCTTAACAAAAATAACTAAACGTTTTTCCAAAATCAATCCAAAATGTTGAAACACTTTATTGGTACACACTTTTCTCTATAGATAAAATAATTTTTTGGGATGCATGCAAAAAAATTAAATTGAGAAAATGCCTCTACTTAAAAATAAAGGAAATGAATATTTTACTAGCCAAGAAATAGACATTTATTTTCTTATTTTGTTTCTTAAGAACAAAGAGTTTGGGATATCAGAAACTTTCTTATATCTGTCCTTTGGAAAGGCCATAGTTGGTGGGGCCAATAAGATGCTGATTGTATACCTAAAATATTTATGAACACTATCTTCCTTAACCCATAATACTGAATTTTTCTAGAAAAATGGCTAGAATACAGTAAGAAAAATCAATAAAACAAAAGAATTTCAGCTTTGAATTACACAGATGTTTAGGTCCAGTTCTTTCTCACACGCTACTTTATTTGTAGAAATTATTAAGTTCCATACTCCACAGAAAATAACTTCGGTCCCTAATCAAAGCTGTTTTCAGTATTAAAAAGATCCACTTGTCCTTTTCTTCTGTCCTTATATCACCAGAAACCTGCCATTAGCATTTGTTGCTGTGTGAACGTTTCCTCTGCTTCTGGGACTAAGAGGAAAAAATTGCAGCTCTCCAAGGAGGGGAATGCTGCTACAGAAGGGATCACCCTGACTCTTTACAAATAGTTATATAATTTTTTTTCTGTGTAGTATAACTTGATAGGGTGCAGTTACAAGTTTAGTGGAGTTTTAACTAGGCCAATCTTTAAAAACAATGAAGAACTGGGAAATAAATCAGATTTCAATTTACTTGAAAATTTATCCATTTCTAAATTTGTTTTCTTAAATTTACTTATCTCATTTTTACACTCCCTGTATCACTGCTATCTCTTAATCTGTCCTATTTATTCCTGCATTAGAAAATGTTTATGCTGGTCCAAAATGTACTGTAAATTTCCTATGTTTAAAACATTGATATTTGTAAGGCATTTTTCCAAAAGTAATACAGTCAAATAAATAAACGTTCACATTTTTTGTCAAAACTAAACAACATTTTAAAATCAATTTTACTCAAGAGACTAAAAACTATTCAAGTCTTATCACTGCAATCCCTTAAGAATTCTTCAGGAGCGGATGGTTGTCCTGCACACAGATAAAATTACACAAGATCTCCAGGGATAAGGAGAGAGTTCTTAACCTTACTCTGCCCAGAAAGCAAATGTAATAGAGAAGGAACAGTCTTGACCAAAATCTCTGGGAGCAAAAGAGGCCTGGAGTCTCTTCTCCCTCTCTCTCTAAAAAACTATGAGGTATTTTTTTAACCTAGATCTCCCAGACACCTTTTGATCAGTGGTCTCCAAACTTGGCAACTTCAAGACTTGTGGACTTCAACTTTCACAATTCCCTAGGCAGCATGGTTGGCTGTGGAATTTGTGAGTAGAAGTCTACAAGTCTTAAAGTTGCCAAGTTTGGAGACCCCACCCCTACTTTAGATGGTCACCAACTCACTCATAATAGCAGCAAATAAGCAGTCATCCTGTTCAAGACTGGAAAATATATAAAATATTTTCCCAACAGCATGAATAATGATGATGACGTTTGTGCTGAGGAAAAGGCACAGTAATTATGCTCATTGTGTGATCGCTTCCCCATCATGAACTGGTTTTAAAAATCTCAAAACAGGACTTTGACAAACTGCTGGGAGCAGGCATATACTGGGGGATAAAAGAGCCTGTGGATCCTATTTTGAAGCAGAATTGAAGAAACAGATGCATTAGAGAAATTTTGTATAAACAGCTTGCTGGCTGGGGAATTCTGGGGTTGAAGTCCAAATATTTAAAGGTGCCAAGTTTTAGAAACACTGCATTAGAGGATGGACAGCTCACAAACCAGAGACTACCCATATATTTATTTGTTTTTATTTATTAATCAAATATATATACCACCCATCTCACTATTTAAATGACTCTGAACTGCATATTTATATATTCCATCTGTTATCTCACCTTTCATAAACATGTCTCATAGAGGGTCAAATAAAAAGCAAACAATGGAATAAATCCTTTTTTCATTTGACCCAATTTGACTTTTATATTCTGAAAACAATATTAAATGGAAAGGCATTGTAGTGTAGATGCACATTTTAAGAGTTTTTTAAAAAAATCCACTGAACATCATGTATGCATATGGCCTGCCGGTATGTCATAGTGTGGTTTATTTTGTGCAGGTAGCTCTTGGCCTATTCATTTAGTGATTGTTTGAAGTTAACAGCAGCACTAAAAAAAGTGTTCGTACATGCCGATCCACATGCCATGTGACCTGCCTGTTGCCTTAGCTGTGAATAAAAGCATTCAAAAAGTTTTAAGCCTCATCCTCTTTTTATTTTATTGTGGCTGTGCAAATGATTGGAATCAAGTTTTCTTGATACTTTTATCATAATTGAAGATTTTCCTTGAAATATGTACACAGCTCTATATTTCATCACTGAAACATTTGGTGAAATTAAAGCAATTTGGATTTGTACTAATATAAGTATAATACTTATATAAGTAAAAGGAACACAAGGGTTCTGAAATGTGAAGAAGCAGCAAAAAAAAACAAAAAACCCTCCAATTGCTGAAAAACCGAAGTATTGAGCAGTAGAACAAAATACAATATCTGTCTCATGTTTCTGCAGAGGATTCTAATCTAATCTATGCCCTAGAATTATTATTCAGTTTTGAAAACCTGCAAATAAATAGTTGTCACCGGGGGGGGGGGGTAGAGGTTTTGGCCCATCCAGACTTACATTTATATTGTTCTGTCTGCAGCGACAGATGGTATTTCAAAATATATATAAACTAGTTCAGATTGTGAACTTTTCTTGTTTTTATCATTGCTCTTGGAATAAATAAATAGCCTTGTGGTATCTCATTAAATCCATACATCTGTGTATCAACTTGTTGTTTCTGCAGTGTTCATCCAACACCTTTGGCTTATGTTTATTTTCTCACATAAGAATTTTTAAATCACAAGAAAGACAAAAGGAAAAAGCACACAAAGTATTTTTGAATTGCTCATATGAAATATTTGCCATTCATCTCCTCTGTTCATCATCAATTATTCCTTCACTACTTTGAATGTTTATTTGAAAAAAAAATTGAGAAATTCTAAGTACTTATAGTACATTGTCTAGATTTCTCTATCTGCCAACAGTTCAAAGTACTGATTATTGGACAAGCTGCATGGAGGAATTTCCAAAGTATACTTCCAGGCTGCTGAATACAACAAGAAGCGTGTTCTGTTGCTGGGTGCTAGGCAGCTTCCTGGCATAGTAAAGGCACACTTTGTCTAAGGTGAGTGTTTGTTTGTTTGCTTGCTTGCTTGCTTTCATTTCTGTTTTCTTTGCTGGTCAGGGAAAATTGAGGGACTACTTATTTAAAATGTTAAACACATTTAAATCTAGAAGCCTTCTAGTCTGTAGCTACAGCAGTTCACTGTGTAGGATAATACTACCAAAGTCAAAGGATTCCCAGTCTAATTGTAAGTTCCCAAAAGCATATATAATTCCACCACTGAAACAGATACGTTAAATGTGTCTATGATTCTTGACAAATGTGCCCCTGATTCCATAAAGACTGAA